GAAGGAAAGAGACCTCAAATAAGCAAGGCACTGATGAAGAACAAAGTAGGAGATCTCACACTGCCAGATCTCAAAACCTACTATACAGCCACAGTAGTCAAAACAGTTTGGTACGGGTATAACAAGAGACACACAGACCAGTGGAACAGAACTGAGAACCCAGAAATAGATTCATCGACCTATGGTCAGCTGATTTTTGACCAAGGACTGAAATCCATTAACTGGGCAAGAGGTGGTCTCTTTTAACAAATGCTGCTGGCTGGTTGAACTTGGAGGTAATTATTGTTGTTGTTGTTGTTATGTGCCGTCGAGTCGACCCCCGACTCATAGCAACCCCTCCTTGGGTTTCCGAGGCAGTTAAGTTGACTAAAATAAGTCAATCAAAGAAGGACAAATATAGTATTGGTTCATTATTGTAAAAAGTCAAGGAAAGGTTTATATATGGAAGGGAACTTTCTTTGTTGGTTACCAGGGATATGTGGGGGGGAACACTGCAAAAAAAAAATGCATTCACCCATGTCACTTCAGTTTTGTGAGTTTCACTGTACATAAAATATATTTTAATAAAATGTATTTTAAAAAATAAAGTGCTCTAAGAAAAGAACTGTAAGCCAAGAATACTAAAGCTGGCAAAACTCTCTTTCAAAAATGAGGGCAAAGTTAAGGCACTGCAATATAAACAAAAGCTGAGAAAGTTTATCACAACTATACCTATGTATAACTGTTGATTTACCTATTTCTTATTTCAATTCTATCAGTTTTAGCTTTAAGCATTTTGAAAGTCAGGCAGGTATAAATTTATTTGATTGCTATTTCTTCTATGAATTGACCCAGGTGTCTGGTTAAATTCCTTGTTCTGTATTCTACTTTGAGCCTGTCAATCAACACAGAGAAGGCATTTGACAAATCTAACACTTTTTCTTGATAAAAGCACTCAACAAAGTAGGAACAAAAGGAAAGTTCCTCAATATCATAAATAGCATTTATGAAAAACCAAAAGCTAACATTATATACAGGTAGAGGGTCAGTGAAAATGGATAAGACCCTCAACAAAATGGATTGACACAGTGGCTTCAATGATGTGCTCAAGTATAGCAATGACTGGGAAGACGGTGCACAACCAGCCAGTGTTTTGTTCTGTTGTACATAGGGTGGCTAAGAGTTGGTGTCAACTCAACCACATCTAGCAACAACAATATTATACACAATGGAGAAAAACTGAGAGCTTTAAGATCAGGAAAAAAAACAAAGTTGCCCACCTTCACAATCACTATTCAACATTATCCTAGAAATTTTGTCCGAGGCAATTAGGTAAAAAAAAAAGAAATAAAAAGTAACCAAATTAGGAAGAAAACAGCAAAACTTCCTTTTCACTAAAAAAACAAAACTCAGTGCCATCAAAACTATTTCCACCCACAGTGACCCCCACTGGGTTTCCAAGGCTGTAAATCTTTATAGAAGTAGACTGCCCCATCTTTCTTTCACAGAGCAGCTGGTAGGTTTGAACCACTGAACTTATGGTTAGCAGCCAAATGCCTTAACAACAATACCATATTCCAGATGATACAATTCTATACATAAAAAACCTCAAAGAATCCACAAGAAGATTACTAGAGCTAATAAATGCATGTTGTTGTTGTTGTTATGTGCCGTCGAGTATAGCGACACCTCCTAGTGTTTCTGAGGCAGTATCACTATGGAAGTAGACTGCCCCATCTTCCTTCCGAGGAGTGGCTGGTAGGTTTGAACCACCAGCCTTCTGGTTAGCAGTCAAATGCCTTAGGCACTACACTACCAGCTGGCCTGTAGGGCTTCCAACGCTGTAAATCTTTCCAGAAACAGACTGTCTCATCTTTCTCCTGCAGAGTGGCTAGTGCGTTCCGCCAACATTTTGGTTACCATCTGAATGCTTTCACAACTATGCCACTCCATTGTAAAGAGAAACGAAGTTCTGATGTGTCCTACAACACAGATGTTTTCAAGAAAACACGCTGAGTGAAGTCAGTCAGTTACAAAAGGACAAATATTGTATGAATCCACTTATATGAATTATCTAGACTAAGCAAATCTGTAGACATCAAAATTTATTAATGGTTACCAGGGGGAGAGGTAGAGAAAAAGGAATCACCCCTTAGAGAATAATGAGTTTCTGTTAAGGGTGATAGAAAAAAATTGGTTATGGATGGTGGTGATGGTTGCACAACATGATGAATATAATTAATGTTACTGAGTTGTACACGTAATGTGAAATGGCAAATGTTTTACATATATTATACCACACACATACATACAAAAACAAAAACCAAGAGCCAAAAATCTACACATCAGACTTTGTACTTACTGCTTCCCTCAAATGACAGAGATGTTGGTAATTAATGCCTTAGATTAGGCATACTGCTTGGCATGTGTCACCTTATACCAAACCAAACCTACCATGATCAAGTCAATTCCAACTCATAGTGACCCTATAGGACAGAGTGCAAATGCCCTATAGGTTTTCCAATGCTATAAATTTTTACAGAAGCAGACTGCCTCATCTTTTTTCCATGGAGTGACTAGTGGGTTTGAACTGTCAACCTTATCATTAGCAGCCAAATGCTTTAACTCCAGAGCTCCTCAGCCACCTTATAAAAGGGCCTATTTTACAAATTTAATTCTCTCAGCAGTCTCCCTTATAGTTATTACATCATCAATTTTATTGCAATTTCCACGCCATTGAACTCTCCTTGGAGGTCACCAAGGACAATGTAATTACCATCACCCTAACAGCCTTGTCTCAAAACTCAGCCTAATCCATCACACCTGTAGCATTTGATACCTTAGCCATTTTCTAGTTGCAGCTGTGACACTGCATTCCCTGACACGTCTGAAAACTGTTCTACCAATTTCTCTTTTTACAAATAATATTTCACAGCAGTTTAGGTTCCCATTCAATAATTTTAACACATGCTGTTCAATGACATTCCTTACAATCTTCACAACACATGAACTATCACATTATTTACAATCCGGTTGTTCCATCTTTATTAATCTAGTTTCCCTGCCCTTTTACATTCTCATTTTTGTTTTGCTCTGGTGTTCGTGGGGATATTACGTTGGAACTGATATGCGGACCTAACAAGTTCATAACAGAATCTCTTATTCAAAAGCCTGAAACTGAACTCCTAATTGTTCCACATGAATTTGCCCTTCCTTCTTTATTCCCCAGCTTGGTTAACAACATCATCACCCTCCTACTTTTGAAATCTTGGAGATCTTTGACTTCTTTCTTTCATTCATTCTCTATATCCAGTCAATACATCACCTTGCTCTATGCCTTAGATATTTGACAAAAGATATGTGACAAAAGATATGTGACTTGTTTACTATCCGTTCTACCTCAAAAAACATACCTAGTTTTACAACTAATTTCTAGTTCCTACAACATACCTCCATCATCATGTCTCTAATACTCAAAGAGCCTAGACCAATACAATAATCTCTCAAGGAATCTTCTAGTGTCCAATTGCTTCACATTTCAGCCCACCTATAGCAAAGAATATATGTCCTAAAACTGATCTATTCACATTACTTAGTCTATTGCTGAGGGAAACTCTTCCCTAGGCTGACTGTGAGGATTAGATAAATGCTAATGCTTAGAAAAGACCTCTGGTAGAATAGTGCCTAAAGCACTTGATTGCTAACCAGGAGGCTGGTGGTTCAAACCCACTAGCCACTCCTCAGAAGGAAGATGGGGCAATCTACTTCCACTGTGATACTGCCTCAGAAACCCAAGGAGGGGTCGCTATGAGTCGGATCTGACTCAACGGCACATAACAACAACAACAACAATGCTTAGAACAGAATCTGGTATACATTTAATATTCTATGAAAAGAATTTTGAACCCCACAGTGAAACTTCATTTTTGTTGTTGTTATGTGCTGTTGAGTCAGAACCGACTCATAGCGACCCCTCCTTGAGTTTCCAAGGCAAGTGATACTTCTGTATCAGTACAGAAGTAGATTGCCCCACCTTCCTTCCAAGGAATGGCTGGTGGGTTTGAACCGCTGGCCTTCTGATTAGCAGTCAAGTGCCTTAGGCACTAGGCTACCAGTGCTCCCGAAACTCCATTTAAGGATCCCTATAATCTATTCTCAGTCTACCTTACTGTCCTATGTCTCACCATACATTTTTAAAAATCTGTATGCAATTCATACCACACTACTCACAATTGCCTAAACATTCCTCACATGTTCCGATAGTGTTGTTCCTTCACTAGGAAATGCCCTATGACTATCATTTCTGGTAGTGAACATACACCCAGTTCTGAAGACTCAATTCAGGATATTTTCTCTATGAAGTGATGTGGTTCATCTTATTTTTCTCTGTATTCCTTTTATTTAATTTGCTGTAGTAAAAAGCAATCATGACCTGAAAAGATTTCACATTAATACCCTGAAACTTTTAGGGGAAAGCTATTAGGATAATCTAATAAGTGAATCACATTTTCTATGTTAATTTTATTGTAATCCTTATAAATTATTATAATAATGACTTCTATCTTCTACTTTGTTTTTTAAATTTTTATTGTGATATGGGTGAAAGTTTACAAAGCAAATTCACATTCCACACAGCAGTTCATATACATTTTGTTTCATGACATTGCCTGCAATTCCCCACAATGGAACAGCTCTCTTCCCACTTCCTCCCTGTAGTTACCTCCTGCCTGTGTCCTTCCTTCCTATGCATTCCTGCCCCCTGTGGAAATACTGCCCTTCTATTCTCTCATGATATCTTCTACTTCTAAGGGGGAGCTCTGGTAGCATAGTGGCTAAGACACTTGCCTGCTAACCAGACGGCTGGCGGTTCAAACCCACCAGCCACTCCTCGGAAGGAAGGTTGGGCAATCCTACTTCCGTAGTGATACTGCTTCGGAAACCCAAGGAGGGGTCACTATGAGTCAGGTTTGACTCGACGGCACATAACAACAACAACAAAATGGGTTGCTTTCTTTATTTACCTCTGTAGATCCATGTTCTTCTGTAGCAAAAGGGAAAATACTTTCATAGAGTTTTGTAAATGCATCCAATCCATTCTCTGTGATCTCTGCTTCTATGCTGGGATCCAAAGGTTCTGTTTCCGTGAAGTCCAATTCCCACACTGTATCCACCCATGCTTCTGTAAAAATGCCATGAAATTAGTAAGTGTTTGATAAGAAGTAAAAAACCAGCAATCATTAGGCTCCATGTACATTCAAGAAGAAAAAAATATACTACTACTAACCCACTTTTAACTATATAATGCAGTTGTAGCATAATTAAAAGAAGCAGAAAAGGCTAAGAAAACCTTTTTTTTTTTTTTTTTTTTTAAATCAAAACTGATGGCTGGCTATAAGGTTGGTCATCTTCCAAATATATAAAGAAAGAAAAACTTTTTAGATGTATCAGTTCTAGAGAATGACTTAAAAATATACGATGATCAGTATGGAGAAGAAACAGAGATTAAACAAAGATTGCTACAGATTTCCTTTGAGAAAATCACATAACAAAGTTAGTAATCCCAAATAAAATATATAGCACTTTACTGGGTTCCTGAACAATAACGTACCATGTTAAAAAAAAAGGACTTTTCTCAAGAAGTAAATTAGAGGAGACAAGTCAGACTCATGCTCACAGACATATGCTGATGGATAGACTGAGGTATAGTAACCAAAACCAAACCAAACTCACTGCTGTCAACCCCTCCCTGGGTTTCCAAGGGTGTATCACTATAGAAGTAGATTGCTCAACCTTCCTTCCAAGGAGTGGCTGGTGGGTTTGAACCATCAGCCTTCTGGTTAGCAGTCAAATGCCTTAAGTACTCTGCTACCAGAGCTCCTAAGGCATAGTGACAGAATGTGGCATTAATACAGTGTTCTAGTTGGATCTTTGCCAAGTTCTTGACATTAAACCATTCTATACTTTTAGTTCTCAGTGTTTTCATTTTGTCATTCCCCAAAGCCTAATACTAGGACTAGATAGAAACATGAGGGCAACTCAAATCAATATTCTTGAAATGTTTGTTCACCACTGATTTAGAGAAGTTGAGCAAGATGTAGAAAAAGAATAAAGAAAATCAAGTGGTAGCCTCAACCTCTCTTTCATGGTTCTGAGAATTATACTGTACTCAGCAAACGTAAAACCTTGCAGTTAATTACTCACCCTCCCTAGAATGCAATTTGCAATCTTCTGTCACCAGCATTCTTTCCAAACATCTGCAATTAAGCTGTCTAAAAGGAAGTCTGAAAAATCCAGATGAGCTCTTAATATTTCCAGTGATGTTTTAACGTCCATTATAGACTAGCAGTCAAAATATCTTACGCTTTATTCTGGCTTTGCCTGCAATAGTTCCCTACTGTTGGCTGCAAATTTAATTTGGAAGGCAGTAGTAACTGGTCCTAATTTCCAGTCCTCCATCTAAAATAGTCATATCAATTTTTATATTTCTGAGCTTCAATTGCCTCATCTATAAGGTACAACTAAATAATACCTATGAATTTTCCAAGGGGAGTGTTCTATTGAAAAGATTTACCAGGAGATGGGGGGTAAGTAAGAATGAGGGGAGTTGGCAAACAGAAGAGAGGAAAAGGAAAAGAAATGGTGACTTTTATTTCGTCTTCCTAGCAGTACTTACTTAGCACAATGGTTCTAAAACTTGTGGAATACATAAAACCTTTTTAAAGTTGAGAAAATTCTATACACTAACTACTTTTTTCTTTGAACTGGAAAACATTGATAGCATAGTACCTAAGGCACTTGATTGCTAACCAGAAGACTGGCGGTTCAAACCCACTAGCCACTCCTCGGAAGGAAGGTTAGGCGATGTACTTCCGTAGTGATACTACCTCGGAAACCCAAGGAGAGTTCGCTGTGAGTCAGGTCTGACTTGAGGACACATAACAACAGCAGAACACCTAAGTCCAGTGCACAATCACAAGAGCTAAGTGGAAACACAGACTAACCAAGTACCATGTTTACCATCTTGTAGGAACTCAGTAAATTCTTATTAGTTTAAAACGAGACAGAGAAAATCTTACCAAGGCAGCAGCTTTTCTACTGAAGGATAATACTGAGACAAGGAGTTGTTATTCCTAGATCCATTTGAGGATGCATAGGGGATGCCCACACTCACAAAACAAATCCAGATGCTCAAGAAGATCTAAAAGGTAAGCCTTTATATTCTTTGATCACAAAGGAATTGGACAAAATGGCTTCTCAATTGTATAAACTCTCTATTTGCTCATAATATTCATTTTGACCTGTTATGATACTTTTTCTCCCTTGTTTCAGCCCACTTTAATTTTGCCTGCATTTACAAGAATACCAAGAGAAAAAAGCCTACAATGCATCGTTTCACAAATCCATAAAATCCTAGGGACAAAGCTGTACATATTTCCAAGTGGAAGAAGCCAACAGATGGTGATCAATTCAGGAAGGTGGAAAAAGACTCAAATTAACGATGGTAGATCTTAGGAGACGTAGTAAAGATTCTGAATAGGAACACAGAACTCACAGCTTGTCAGAAATCTTTCCTACAGAACAGTTTCACTTGCTTTAATTCATTCACTCTCTTTCCTACTCACTCTCCTAAGAAATATTCTTGCATCTTTTCTAGCCTCTCTTTTTCTTGTATATTCTCTCATTCATTCATTCATTCATTCATTTGTAAGCATTTTTATTTTTTTTGTGATTTGGGTGAAAATTTACAGAGCAAATTCACTTTCCACATAGCAGTTCACATACACTGTCTCATGACAGTGACCACAATTTACCACAATGCTACAGCTCCCCTCCCACATCATTCCAATAGTTACCTCTTCCCTGCGTCCATCCCTCCACGCACTCCTACACCCAGAGCTGTCTCCCTGTGCATAAACAGCTCTTCTTTCTCCAATGATAATTCTCTCCAAGGAGTGTATGTACCTCAGGTAAATGTTCAACTCATATGCCTGACTTTTGTTTGGCTAGAAGCCACAGGTGTAGATTCAATTACAGACCTGAAGGGTAGCTAGGGACCATAGTCTCAGTGGTCCCACCAAGCTCTGTCAGACCAGCAAACCTGGTCACCCCCCTTTTTTTTTCTACAAATGATTTTGAGTTTTGCTCCATATTGTTTTCCCTCTCTATCCAGGATCTCCTACATAAATCCCCTTCCAGGGGTTGACAGGGGTAGCTGGGCACCATCTAGTTCTTCTGGTCTCATAGTCATATAGGCAGCACATCGGATGGTGTACCAGTCACTAGGACTAATTGTTTCCATGAATTTTTGGTTTTCTTCCATTCTTCTTCGCTCTGGACGAGGAGAGACCCATCGTTGCATTTAGATGGCAGCTTGCAAGCTTTTAAGAAGCCAGTCGCTGCACGCCAAAGTAGGAGGTGGAACAATGTTTTGTGTAGTATGTTATGCCAATTGAGCTTGATGTCCCCTGTGACTATGGTCCCAAGCCCAGAGATTCAACTACTCAGTCCCTCTGGTAAGCTGGCTGTGACCAAGAAGTGACTATAACCTTGCCCCTTGTCAGCTCTACTATACACCAGGGAATTGAGATCATACAAATAAACTTACAGGACCACTGTCTGCCAACCCTATACATGGTCTTGGGTACACTTCCTGCTTCATAGACATACTTACTAGTTCAGCCTGTCCACTTATCCATCCACCCGTATAGCCATGTTTGCCTTCACTGACAATATGGTACTGTATGTGCAAAACGGTGCATCTTTGTTATCTGTACCTCCCAAGTAACTCTCTTTCTCTTCCTCAATGACACCATAATGATCACTCACACTTTGTACACATCCCTTCTCTTCACCCAATACTTAACTCTACCTATCTAAAAGTGTTCTCTACCTTTGTAACAAACAAAGAAAACTCCCTTCCATAGATAAACCTTTCCTTGACTTTTACAATAACGGACAACTACAGTATTTGTCCTTCTGTGATTGACTTATTTCACTCAGCATAATGTCCTCCAAGTTCATCCACATTATGCAGTGTTGTGCAGATTCTGCATTACTCTTTAGCGTTGCAGAGTATTCCATTGTGTGTATGTACCATAGTTTGTTCTCCATTCCTCAGTTGATGGACCACCTTTTGGCTATTGTAAATAGTGCTGCATTGAACATAGGGGTGCATATGTCTGTTTTTGTCATGGCTCAAACTTCTTTAGGATATATACCTAGTAATGGAATGGCTGGGTCACATGGTATTTCTAATTCCAACTTTTTAAGGATTTGCCATACTGCTTTATACAATGGTTGTACCATTTCACAATCCCACTAGCAGTGTATGAGAGTCCCAATCTCTCCACATCCTCACTAGCATTTCTTATTTTCTGTCTTGTTGAACTCTGCTACTAGCGCTGGAGCAAGATGATATCTCATTGTTGTTTTGATTTGCATCTCTCTAACTGGGAGGTCTGGTAGAGTAGTGCCTAAGGCACTTGACTGCTAACCAGAGGCTGGAGGTTCAAATCCACCAGCCACTCCTCAGAAGGAAGGTTGGGCAATCTACTTCCTTAGTGATCCTGTCTCGGAAAACCAAGGATGGGTCACTATGAGTCAGGTCTGACTTGACAACACATAACAAAAAAAAACAACAATGGCTAATGAATGTGAACATTTCTTCATATGTTTGTTGGCACCTGAATATCTTCCTTCGTGAACTGTCTATTCATGTCTTCTGTCCATTTATTAATTGGATTATTTGTCTTTTTGTATTGAAGTGTTGGACTTTTATATAAATTCTAGAGATAAGTCCTTTGACAATTATGTCATTGCCAAGCATTTTTTTCCCAATCTGTAGGGTGTCTTTTGACTCTTTTGGAGAAGTCTTTGGAAGCACATAAAAATTTCATTTTAGAAGGTCCCAATCATCTGGTTTTTCTTCTGCTGTTTGTACATTTTGAGTTATGATTGATAGCCTATTATTACATATATTGAGGCGCCTAAATTTGCTCCTGTATTTTCTTGAGCAACTCTATAGTTTTAGGTTTCACGTTTAAGTGTTTGATCCATCTGGAGTTCGTTTTTGTGTATGGTGTGAGGTACAAATCTTGTTTCATTTTTCTGCAAATGGATCTCCAGCTTTGCCAGCACCATTTATAAAACAAGCATTCTCCTCCCCATTTAACTGATTTAAGCCCTTTGTCAAATATCAGCTGACCATAGGTCAATGGCTCTATTTCTAGGTTCTCAATTCTATTCCATTGGCCTATGTATCTGTCATTAAACCAATACTAGGCAGTTTTAACTACTGTGGCTGTACAGTAGGTTTTTAGATCTGACAGCATGAGACCTCCTACTTTGTTGTTCTTCTTCAATACAGCTTTGCTTATTCGAGGTCTCTGTCCTTTCCATATAAAGTTAGTGATTGTTTTTTCCACATCCCTAAAGAATGTTGATGAGATCTGCATTAGGATTGCATTGAATGTATAGAATGCTTTGGGTAGAATTGACATTTTCACAATGTTCAATCTGCCTATGCACAAGTATGGGATGTTCTTGCATTTACCCAGATCTCTTATGGTTTCCTGAAGCAGTTTTTACACTTTTCTTTGTACAGGTCTTTTGCGTCCCTGGTAAGATTTATTCCCAAGTATTTTATTTATTTATTTATTTTGGTAGCTATTGTAAACGGTATTGATTTCCTTATTTCTTTTCAAGCAATCTCTTTGTTGGTGTAGAGGAATCCATCTGATTTTTGGATGTTGATCTTACATCCTGCCACAATAGTAAATATCTCAATTAGTTCCTGTAGATTTGACTGAGGCTCTTGGTATAGAGCTAGGTATAGGATCATATCATCAGCAAAGAGGGATAGTTTGACTTCTTCTTTACCAATCTGGATGTCTTTGATTTCCCTTTCTTGCCTTAGGGCCCTGGCTAGGACTTCCAGTACAATGTTGAATAGAAGTGGTCATAGAGGGCATCCATGTCTGGTTCCTGTCCGCAAGAGGAATGGTTTCAGTCGTTCTCCATTGAGAATAATATTGGCTGTTGGTTTTGCATGGTGTTGTTGTTGTTAAGTGCTGTCGAGTCGTTTCCGACTCATACCGACCCC